ATTATGATCTTACTTAGGAAATAACATACCGTTCATGCTCATAAGATGTAGTTAAGCCAGCAACTGGGAAATTATCACAGGTCCACAGAAAGTTTAAGAAAAATAAAACCCACTCAGTCAGCGATAAGCAAAAAGCTACGTATGCAGCTTTCTTGACAGTAAACTTGAACTTTTTCATAACAAAACCGCCAATTAAATATCCAAAAACTATTGGAGGTAAGTTATAAATACCTATAAATTAAATAGAATAGTATTTATAAAACACAGCAAAAAATTAAATGTTATCAATTTTTAAAAACATCTTACTTAGGAAATTACTTAATTCGTATACACAGTATCATAACCCCTGCTCATTCACATATTTCAAATGTCACATAATGTCACTTTAAAAAGAGAATTGGCATTTGCCTAATTATTTGAAACAAGTCATAAACACATTGTAACCCTCACATATACAGACACAGACACACAAACTCACATATACACAATTAGGTATTTTAGGTACTTTTATCTGCTCTGTAATTTTGAAGGTCTCCACTGAACCCAAGGTTATCACATATAGAACATTCTGTGCATTCCTTATGTTACCAAGAAATCTTTCTTCTTGACTCTAATTCTACATAAGGGGAGGATGGGGAGAGCTTGGGGGAATCGGATGGTTGGGATAATGGAAGGATGGATATGGGAGCAGGGAAATATATTTCTTAATTAAGGGAGCCATTTTAGGGTTGGCAAGAGCCTTGACTCTAGAGGGGTTCCCAGGAGTCCAGAGAGATGTACCCAACTAGGTCCTATAACCATACTAATGAATATCTTGCATATCACCATAGAACATTCATCTGGCGATGGATGGAGATAGAGACAGAAACCCACATTGGAGCACCGGACTGAGCTCCCAAGGTCCACATGAGGAACAGAAGGAGGGAGAACATGAGCAAGGAAGTCAAGACCACGAGGGGGGCACCCACCCACTGAGACGGTGGGGCTTATCTTTTGGGAGCTCACCAAGGCCAGCTGGACTGGGACTGAATAAGCATGGGCTACTGAGAATCCAAGGACAATGGCACTGAGTTTTGGCCCTACTGCATGTACTGGCTTTGTGGGAGCCTAGCCAATTTGGATGCTCACCTTTGTAGACCTGGATGGAGGAGGTAGGACCTTGGACTTCCCACAGGGCAGGGAACCCTGACTGCTCTTTGGACTGGAGAGCGAGGGGGAGGAGGGAGGGAGGTGTGGGGAGTGGGGGGAGAGGGAGGGAAAAGGGAGGCGGGGAGGAGACGGAAATTTTTAATAACAAAAAATTTAATAAAAAAGAATCTAAAAAAGAAAATAAATAAAAAATAAAAGGCAGTAATAAGCCTGAGATTTTGACTGAGCATTTATCATTAATATAACTCTCAGTGAGTTTATTTGAGAGCACAAAAATGTAGTCAGGAGCAACTTATTGGTAACTGCCTTTTCTCCAGTGACTTTTGCTTGCTGGCAGTGAGCAGAGGTATGACTCCTTTAGGAGACAGTTACCTGAAATGGCAAAAAATGGGCAACTCCCTTGAGAGGCTCTGCTACTAAACTCTTAAGTGGTGTGTGTGAATGGTGGATGAGATGCTACTTGGTGGCTATGTACACCCAGAATTTTCCTAGAGTTAGGGTGATAACATAGTTTCCAGAGCTGGTGATAAACATACATCAGCCATGAGACTAGGATCTCAGGGAAGCAAGCAGGTGGAGTCAGCCACAAGAGCTGCCAGTGAAAAGTCACTTAGCAGTTTAAAGGTTGACTTGTGTGGTCAGAAAAAAATAAAGATATATAATAAAATGAGAATCAGATTGAAAAACAATGTCTAAATGTGCCATGGTATTTAAAAATATATGTAAGCTTAAGAAAGAAAATAAACTGAGTATAGAAAGTCACAGAAAGAATAGTTTAAAGTTATAAAGTCTTTAAAAAGAGATGTACAATAATAAAAAAGATTAAGTCATACAGAGATGGGAAATACACAGGGAGTCTGGATAAGGTATGTTATTATATTAATTTTGAATTTTTTTGAATTCTAATGAGCAAAAGACAGTTGCTAGGGGCATGGAATTGTGAACAGGACTGCAAATTTTAAATTTCGGGCTATTCTAAATTTAAAAACAAAATAAAGATATACTTGTCAAAAATCAAAAATGTTTTAGAGAAGAGTATTTGCTTTTGTTCCCACAGGAAAGAAGAATCTGTGCATTCCTTCAGGAATAATATTTATCAGGTTTGATCATGGAAGTCCTCATGAATCTTGCATATGATATATATAAGTTTACTGCTTATCTTTCTAGCACTTGGTCATTGTCTCAAATGTTGTTAAACACCCTAGAGATGTCTTTAACAGATAACAAAAAGCAATTTGGAGAACATGATGCCCATGTTCCCAAGAGGTGTAGGGGAGGCATTTTGTTATTTGGTGGCCTATGGATGTTTGTTATCAATTAGGGAAATATACCATATTGATGTAAATTTAAGTAAATTTTGTGTCATGGCACATATGTTTCTACTGTTGTTTAAGTTGTTATACATTTGCAGTTCATTAAAAAATAAAAGCTAAAGTTCTAGTTTTTGAAAGTTATTATAAAATATTTAGTGTAATCAACAAATACAAGTTGTAGTTAGTCATTTACAAAAATCATACCTGTAGATAATGTTAGGTATGTTTTCAAGATCATGTAATGATATATTTTAGACAGATAAAAGATTTTCAAGCACTTCAAAGATCTACAGAATATGATATGAAATCTTTTGATAACATAAGGTTTTTCATGACAATGAAACACATCTTCTCCTGGTAGCATCAATTTACTTCAGAGAAGGTAATGGGCATCAATTCAACTCTGTAGGCATTTGCTTTTTTTTTTTGTAGCAAGATTAGTAATTTTGACAAGAAACTACTTTTGCCTTGACTGCTTGACTGCATGCTCTATAAAATGGACATGCTAGACCCATAGGAAAAAGATTGCTGAACTTGGCCAAAATACGGCAAGATATACTTTCAAGATTCCTGCTTCATAGAAATGTCTGCTAGACAGACATTCTGCAGGACACATAGGATAATATATGTTGAACTTTTCCAATACAAGGCATAATAGTCCTTTGGGATTCCTCCGTCATAAAAGAATCTGTCAGACATTCTGCAGGACACAAAGGAAAACAATTGATGAACTTTGCTAATACAAGACAGGAAGGTCCTTCAAATTTTTTGCATCACAGAAAAGTCTGCCAGATACTCTAAGATGGTGTACTGGAGATGGATGCCCCAATGTTACAGAGAAATTTGACTGTCCAGAAAGCAAGATATCCTGTCATTAAGTAACATATCATCCTTCTGGGGCCTTTGATGAAGTTGTAGATTAGATTGTCTTAATTATAACTTTCCTCAGTTACAATGAATAAATTAAGTATAAAATTTTAGAAGCACCAAGACAAAATAGATGAGGGAATATTTTATCTAATTTTTGCCAAATACAAATTGACTAGACATTGTACCTGTAATTCTTAATAACTGTCTTTGTTGTTTATAATCTTACTATGTTAAAGTTAAACCTTCCATTTTAATTAGACAAAAAGTGAGAAATGCTGTGGAATAATCTTTTTGTACACTGTAAATATGTATTACTGTCATTGACTTAATAAAGAAGTTGACTGACTAATAGCTGAAAATGATAGAGATAGGTAGGAGACTGAAACTAAGAATGAGGAAAAGAAGAAGGGTGGAGTCAGAGGAGTCATCAGCAAAAGCTGAGGGAGCAGAAGACAAATGTGCTATGCTAGTAAAGATGCCACCATGTGGCAGAATGTAATAACAATTATGCATTAATTTAAAATGTTTGAGCTGGTTAGCAATAAACCTGAGCTTTTGACTGAGGATTTGTAATTAATATAAGCCTTGGTGTGTTTATTTGATAGTTTCTGGAAGGACCTAAACTTCCATCTATATAAATGAAACCAGAAAAAAAATCCAAAGTTACATAGGATCCCTAGGTTTATTGTACTAACAAGAAAAGCAGATGTGACTGCACAGACTCCACAAACCACCAGAGGACCTAGTGACTTAATTAGGAGTAATGTGGAAGCCAAGATTTGAAATTCAGAAGTAAAATTGGGGGATAATATATAGAATCCCAGAAAGTTAAATCTATATTCCTCTTTGAATTAATACGTTGTCTATCTGAAAATTGACCAATATGAACATCCCTAAAGATTTCCATAGTGATGATGATTTCATTATGATTAGAGAGAGAACAGAGAGGGTATTTCTGTCCTCTTCCTTTCTTTGACAATTTTTGATTTATTTTTTTTAGACTAGAAAGAAGAAATTTACAAATATGCTAACAGACATCAATTTTCTTGTAGTTTCTGAGTCACAATATCATATTGTTTTGCTTGTCTTTTTTTATCATGTCCTTGAGGAATTGAAAAGTGCTACTAAAGAAATAACAAAATTACATACCTATGAGAAAGACTATTTCTGCAGTTGATTTCCCATATTGCTGTTCCAGGAATTTAGGAAGGAAAACAAATGTTGTGGTAAATGAATTGACCTGAAGCACACTTACAAGGACAAAAAGCACATAAAGCGGATTGCAGAAGAGGCTCTTCATGAATGGCAAGAAATCTGAAACAAGAGAGTATCAATATCATCAAGATAACCCAGTCTTGCATTTTGTGTCTGCTAAACTGAAATCTTCTCACAGATTCTGTAGTGTTACACAAAAACATTTAATAAATCTTTACCTCTCTGGGCTAAAGTTCTATGTCATCATTTAAGGAGTTTTTGAAAGATAGTAACATTACTGGCATCATAAGAATCAGAACCCAATTGTGCCATAAAGCCAAACTATAAGGAGATAAAATCATATCTATGGCCACACCTTTTATTTTTTTCCTCTTTTCCTTCTATTAATATCCTGCATTCACTACAGAGTGACTAGTCTGCTCTCTGGATTGTTCAAGGGACAATTTTTGATGAAGTTTGAGCTCAGATACTGATGTTAACACACCATTGTGGAAGAACAGAGAAGCAAAAAATTTAGGAAGACCCCAGAAATCTTTCTGTGACTTAGCTAACATCAGCATCCCTGCAGCACTTCCAAACAGAACATTTATTAGCAGAATTAGTGATATTTTAAATTTCTCAACACAAGGGTCTAACTGCAAGGGATGCTGACTCACTTGGTGTAGACCTTCCAACTGACTTAACCAGAACCTTTTCCTGTTTACCAGGCTGTGACTCAAGTTTGCAGCCTCTTTCTGGTAAATAGATGGAATCTAACATAGATAATTTCACTGAACTCCACACTTAATAATCTCTTTTCTTATCTTCATGTTTTCTAACAACATTTTCTAATTTTATACTATCCCAAACCCACCCAACAACCATGACCTCAGTGACTCCCAGAGATACAGACGTGTTCTGTACAAAGCAGATCAAGAGCCGCCCCCTGACACAGAAAGCAACTGCAACAATCAGTCCAAGACAGGATTCCATAGACACCACATACAAGGATTGGACAAAGATGCAAAGATACTTCCTGAATCAATTACAAGAAGAGATGAATAGGCACCAATGCAAGAATACATTCAAAAACCTAAAGAACAAGATGGCAAAAACAAGTCTTAGTATCCTAACACAGAAGAAGCAGAAAAATATAACTTTTTTGAAGCTGGTAGAGACTCTTAAAGAGGAAATGAAAAAATCCCTTAAAAACATGGAGGAAAAGGCAAAAAAAAATTGGTAGAAATCAATAAATCTTTTAACAAAAAGCAAGAAAAAAACAATTAAGCAGGTGTAGGAAACAGTTTAAGACTCAAAAACTGAAATAGCAGCAATAAAGAAAACAGAAACTGAGGGACTTCTGGAAACAAAAAAAAATGCTACAGATACAGCAAAATCAAAAGTATACAAAAGATGGAAGAGAAAATCTCAGGAATTGAAGATAGGATACATGAAAAAGATTCATCAGTCAAAGAAAATGTAAATTCAACAATTTTTTTTAAAACATAAAACATACAGAAAATGTGGGGCACCATGAAAATATCAAACCTAACAACAATAGAGATAGAAGAAGGAGAAGTACTCCAGCTCAAAAGCATAGAATATTTATTCAACAAAATTATAGAAAAAACTTTCCCAGTCTATAGAAGGATATGCCTATGAAGGTACAGAAAGCTTATAGAACACCAAATAGACAGGAAATAAAGTCCTGTTGCCATATAATAATCAATACACTAAACATACAGAATAAAGAGAGAATATTAAGAGCTACAAGGGAAAAGGCCAAGTAACATATGAAGGCAGACCTATCAGAATTAAACCCAATTCCTAATGGAAACTCTGGAAGCCAGAATGTCCTGGACAGATATGCTGAAGACACTAAGAAACCATGGATTCAAGCCCTAGCTATTATACTCTGCAAAGCTGTCAATCACCATTGATGGAAAAAAAAAAACCAAGATATTCTATGACAAAACCAGATTTAAGCAACACCTATCCACAAATCCAGCCTTACAGAAAATACTTTAAGAAAAACTCCATCAAAAGGAATTTAGCTGTACCCACAAAAATACAGGCAAGAAGTGATCTCACAACAGCAAATCCCTAAAAATGGAAACACACAAATACTAAAACTGAAAAATAACAAAAATTAACAATCACTGTTCATTAATATCTCTTAATATTAATGGACTCAACTCACCCATAAAAGGACATAGGCTAACAGAATGAATACAAATCAGGACCCATCCTTCTGCTGCATACAAGAAACACACCTCAACCACAAAAACAGTCATTACCTTAGAGTAAAGGGTTGGGAAAAGAATTTCCAATGGAATGGATTTAAAAAACAAGCTTGTGTAGCTATCCTAATATTTAAAATAATAGACTTGAAACTAAAAGCAATCAAAAGAGATGGAGAAGGATACTACATACTCATCCCAGGAAATCCATCAAGATTAAGTCTCAATTATGAATATCTATGCCCCAATTACAAGAGCACCCACATATGTAAAAAAAAAAAAAAAAAACGTTACTAAAGCTTAAATTGCACGTCAAACCCCACATGCTTATAGCAGAGGACTTCACCACTCCACTCTGATGTGGGAGCGATTTCTTTCTAATCTGTTGCTTTCATTGGTTAATTAATAAAGAAACTGCCTTGGCCCATTTGATAGGCCAACCCTTAGATGAGTGGAGTAAACAGAACTGAATGCTGGGAGAAAGAAGCTGAGTCAGGGAGTCGTCATGATTCTCCCACTCCAGACAGATGCAGGTTAAGATCTTCCCTGGTAAACCACCTCGTGGGCTACACAGATTATTAGAAATGGGTTAGATCAATATGTAAGAGCTAGCCAATAAAAGGCTGGAACTAATGGGCCAAGCAGCGTTTAAAAGAATACAGTTTCCGTGTAAGTATTTCGGGGCATAAGCTAGCTGGCGGTCGGGAGCCACTCCAATCACAACACCACTCTCACCAATGGACATGTCTGCCAGATGGAAACTTAACAGATAATAAGAGAACTAATAGATGTCATTATTCAAATGGACTTAACAGACATCTACAGCACATTTAAACCAAACACAAAACAAAATACACTTTCTTTTCAACACCTCATGGAACCTTCTCTAAAAGTGACCACATAGTCAGTAACAAAGCAAATATCAACAGATACAAAATAATTGGAAAAACCTCCTATATATTATCAGATCTCCATGGCTTAAAGTCAGAATTCAACAGCAACATTAATTTCAGAAAGCCTACAGATTCACTGAAATTGAGCAACACTTAACTAAATCAACACTAGGTAAAGGAAGAAATAAAGAAAGAAATTAAGGACTTCCTAGAATTCAACAAAAATAAATGCACAACATACAAAACCCATGGGATGCTATGAAAGCAGTGCTAAGAGGAAAGTTCATTGTACTCAGTTCTACATAAAGAAAGAGAAGCAATCTCATACTAGTGACTTAATACCACACCTGATTGCTAAGTAACAAAAAGAAGCAGTCTCACCCAGGAGGAGTAAAATGATGAGAAATAATAAAATTGAGGGCTGAAATCAATAAAATAGAAACAAAGGAAACAATACAAAAAATCAATGAAACAAAGAACTGGTTCAAAAAAAATCAACAACAACAACAACAAAATACCTTTATCCAAATGAACCAAAAGGCAGAGAAAGAATATCAAAACTTTAAAAATCAGAAATAAGAAGGGGATATAACAACAGAAACTGAGGAAATCCAGAAAATCATTAGGTCATAGTTTGAAAACCTATATTCAACAAAACTAGAAAAAATAAAAAAGAAACGGAATATTTTCTGGATAGGTACCACAAATCAAGGACACATAAACAATTTAAATAGACTTATATCCCCTAAAGAAATAGAAGCTCTCATCAAAAATCTCTTCCCATTCCCACTCTCGAAAAGCCAAGGGCTGATAGGTTTCTATGTAGAATTCTTTCAGAATTTCAAAAAAGAGCTAATACTTAAACTCCTCAAATTGATCTACACAATAAAAACAAAAGGAACATTACCAAACACTTTTATACAAGGCTACAGTTACCCTGATACACAAGCCACACTCAATAAGAAAATTATATACCAATCTCTCTCATGAATAATGATGCAAAATTTCTCAAGAAAATGCTGGCAATTGGAGCACTAAAATACATCATGAAATCATGCCAATGACCAAGGTGACTTCATGCCAGAGATGCAAGGATGGTTCGACATACAAAGATCTGTCTATGTAATTCACCACATAAATAAATTGAAAGGTAAAAATGATCATCTCATTAGAAACTGAAAAATCATTTGACAAAATCCAACACCCCTTCATGATAAAGGCCTTGCAGAAATCAGGGATGCAAGGAACTTACCTCACATAATAAAAGCAATATACAGCATGTCGACAGCCAACATCAAATGAAATGGAAAGAAACTCAAAGTGATTACACTAAAATCAGGAATAAGACAAGGCAATCCATTCCCTCCATATCTATTCAATACACTACTAGCAGGTCTAGCTAGAGCAATTAGACAACAAAGAGAGATCAAGGAAATACAAATTAGAAAGGAAAAAAGTCAAATTTTCATTATTTGCAGATGATAGAATAGTAGACATAAATCATCACAAAAATACAACCTGTAACTCCTACAACTGATAAATTCCATCAGTAATGTAGCAGAATGCAGGTAAACTCAAACAATCAGTATTGCTCCTATATAAAAATGACAAATGAAATGAACTGAGAAATTAATGAGAGAAATATCACCCTTTACAATAGCCACAAGTAACAAAATATTTCTTGGGCAATGCTAAACAAAGAATAGAAAGATCTGTATGAAAAGAACTTTAAATATCTAAAGAAAGAAACTGAAGAAAATATCAGAAAATGGAAAGATTTCCCATGCTCTTGGATAGAAGATCAACCTAATAAA